TTGGAGTACCTGGATTCAATTCCTAGCTCTGGCTCTTTTTTTTTTTAAGATTTATTTATTTATGTATATATTTATTTGATAGGCAGATTTACAGAGAGAGAGAAAGAGATCTTCTATCTGCTTGTTTACTCCCCAAATGGCTACAACAGCCAGAACTGGGCCAGTCCAAATGTGGGAGCCATGACCCTCCTGCAGGTCTCCCACATGGGTGCAGAGGCCCAAGGAGTTGGGCTCTCTTCTGCTACTTTCCCTGACACATTAGCTGGGAGTTGCACTGGAAGCAGAGCAGCAGAAACTCCATCCAGCACCCATATGAGATGCCAGTGCCACAGGCAGAGGCCTCAGTCCCAGTTTTGTTTGTTACTTTGGTTTTGTTTTTATTTTGTTTTGTTTTTCCAGCTCTGCCCCTTGAATCCAACTTCCTTCTAACAGACATTTGGAAGCAGCAAAGAAAGCTCAAGTAATTGCCTTCCCGCCACCCACAGAAGCTCCCCAGATTAAATTCCTGGTTTCAAGTACCCAGTCCTGATCATTGGGGGACAGCACTCTCCCTCTCTGCTTCTCCCTGTCTCTCCTTTCCCCTCTCCTCCTTTCCATCTCCAGCCGTCTCCCTCTCAAAAAAGCAAAAACAGAAAAACACTATCAGAGAATAGTGACTCAGTACTTTCAGGAAACAAAGTGTTAAAGGACTCCCTTAGGAAATAGTTAAGACCAACATTTTAGAAACAGCTATGATATTCATAAGAATAACTGTCACTGTCATGACCAACCCTACTCCGAAGATACTGTCTTCACTTTCTCACCTTGTGGTGCCCCACCCTGTTTACCAATTCAGTCCTGAAATCCCTGGTTTAGGAGGCAGGCAGGCATTTTGAAGCAGGTGAGGTTTATTTATCTTAAAGATATGCTGCTCTCTCTCTGTCAGCCCCTTGCCCCATCTCTCATGCTCTGTAGTTTATCCCAAAGCATTTTCTTTCACTGACAAAGAATATGAGCTAGTGCTCATGTTGTTATAATTAAGAATTCCTGAATCACCAGCTACATGGAATAAAGTGGAAAAGTCGCTGTAAAGAAATGTCCTCCACTGGTAGAAATGAAAAAAAAAAATGCGCCTTGTACTACATCAAAGAAGTCATAATAGTCACGTAACAAAAATTCCATGTTATTGGTGACAGAAGCGCCACATTTACTCTATCTAGTGTGAGTACCCTACTATCAAGCAGAAGATGTGGAAAACATCCAAAGGTTTCTCATACAAGAGACAGAATGCAGTAAGTGTTTGGCAGTAGTAGAATTAGACACTGAGTTACACACTTTTTATGATTATTTAAGGAATGTTTCAAGAAATGAGTGAACACTTAAACAGCTCCTTAAACATGAGCAAAGTTTCCACAGGGAGAGTTGAGGAACAGAACAAACTGTTTGAGATTGGTCAATGCCAAGGACCCCTTGTTTTGTAGAATCTAAATACCTGAGTGTCAGTATGCTATGCCAAAGCCATTTGTTAAAAAACTTTGGATTTTCTTTCCTATTAACTATCTATTTTAAACTTTGTTCCTACCTTAACTGCTAAATCCTTTTTTTTTTTTTTTTCAGGCCAGAGAAGGGGAGGTTGCCATTATCGACAAAGTCCTAGACAATCCAGACTTGACTTCTAAGGAATTCCAACAATGGAAGCAGATGTACCTCGACCTTTTCTTGGATATCTGTCAAAACACCACCTCAAATGATCCATTAAGTATTTCTTCTGAAGTAGATGTAATCACTTCCTCTCTAACACACACTCATTCATACATCGAAACGCATGTGTAAATGTATTCTGCCTTCAGGCCATCCAGTACCTGCTGGTACTGTGAGCAAGTACATATGGTAGTTTTATATCTGTGTGGGACACTTGACAAGCTATACTTTAATGTTACCACAAACTGTATGAAGCAAATCATGTATGGTCACAATACCACTGTCTTTAATGAGCATTTGTATATTTTATATGCAGTCAGTGCTCAGCTTATGTTTACCATGTGCAAAATCAACTGTCTTTAAAGACTTACAATTAACTTTTGCAAACAACTCTGAATATAGGTGGTCTTCAAATAGTGAAGCCACAAAAAGGCAGTTTTCTATCTAAGGTCATCTTTTCTCCCTTTATGTTAGTTTTATATAAACAAGACTTCAAAGTAATTCACATTTTTTCAGGTGCAGATATCCTTGTGGGTGGGAAAGAATTTAAACCTTTTTTATATTTATTAAAATGTTCTAAGAATTTTCTTAAGTATTGCACAAAGTTTAATGCTGTAGTTTTATTTTTGTGAAATGTAGGTGTGCATACAAGAGTTGAGCAAAATAGAAGAGCATTGATATTGATATAAGAAAAGTTCAGGTATCTAATATTCGTCTTAATAGTCTATTAACTTGTGAAAGCTAGTTAATGGAAATACTATCCCAAATCTATGAGAACACTTAATGGTGTATCAGGGCAAAGCTTTGTAAGATGTTTTTGTAACTAAGACCAAAACTGAAGATAGAGCTGCTTTATTTTCTTGGTTTAAATCTTCCTTTATTTTTGTAGTGATGAAATGCTGATTGTGTACAGAAGAATTTGAGAATGGATTTTTTAAAAACAGACTTAACTCACCCAGAAAGGCAGCTAACAGATATATATATAATTTCAACCCAAACTCATATTTTTAAATGCTAACTCTTAAAAAACAAGGTATAAACTGAAATTAGTCAACTTTCCAGGTAGTTTTCAATTTTCTCCCTTGTCCATTAGTTAAACTTACGTAAATATATTTTAGACAGGGAAGTAAAATATGGTTACAGGCTGATATGTTTTATCATGTAGGAAACAATGTTGAAAATAAAAACGTACATTCTCTCCTAAGGAATATGAGAGTAATGGTCACTCAAAGAGATGTCACATTGAACTATCTGACAGAAACAATTTAGAAGTTTTTCCCAGCATCATTGTTCTATAGAGTGGATGAAGTCTATGAAAAAGTCCTCTTCATATATTTCCATTTATAAGCGTCTCATTTTTGAAAGTGATCACAGCATGAAAATGACTGTGCTGCTTTTTAGTGTCTGGCTGCATAACGTACACGTCACAATTTGCTGTTTTTCAGGAGGAGGAAGGGACCCTCCTTTACTATTCTCTATCCTAAAATCTAATCAGCTTTATACTGTTGCCTGTACAGCTCAGTGAATGTACTTACATCTTTAAGAGTTCAGATATATGCCAGTGACTATTTTTGCTGTAGAGGAGAAAGTAAAAACTCCACAACGGGGATCTTTTTCTTTGCTTTTGAAACCACCATTGAATCACTATCGTTTTGCAGACTTTGCACAACTGTACAGGAGAGTGGCCTTTCTACAGCACATTTTCAGTAATCCTATATTTAGTCAAAATGGATGAGAAATCATGTATTAATGTTTGTATGGAATTTTGGGTCCAGTGTAATATTTTTATCATTTAAAAAACCTATTTGTAAAAGCGTTTATTTACTGCATGAATATTGACAGCACATTAAATTTGTGGAATTTTGTATATGTAAAACAAACAAACAAAAAAAACCCTTTTTGTCCTAAAAATGAAGTGTGCTTGTTACAGGTGTTTAGACTTATTGATGTTTAGTAGACCAAATGTTGTGTTCACTTAAAAATATCTGTACCTGATGGATGTGTTGTGTATACAGTGGCCAGGTTTGACCTGTAAACAGTAAGCAGTTGATGGGAAAACTAGCTCTGTTGCTTTTAAGCAGCTTTTACTTTTGTAAAGTCAGCTCTGTTGTTTTAAATGGTAAAAATTAAACTAATGAATTTTACAAGACTTGTGGCTAGCCTAGCATGGAAGACACCTTTTACCACTATATATCTGTACATTTTATTGCATTAGTTTCAAATCTGAGAGGCAGCACTGTAAAATGAAGTCAAATAAATTCAGCTTTTAATGAATCCTTACAAAGCACTTACTTTATTCATGCAAAGCCCTTAGCACATTGCTTTGTGATCTCAACACACAGCCACCTACTTCCCCTACCCCAGTTACAAGTTCTCACTTTGCCACCCTGTTGGTGCCACAAGCCTGAAGGAATACCTGTTCAATACATACAGGCATCCTCTCTCTGAAACCCAGAAAAGTCAAGCGGGTTTCCCATTTGCCCGATATGTACTTTAAAACTTCACCTGCTTCTTTCCTTTTTCTGTGATTCTTTTGGATAAGCAATGATAGCCACATAAAATAAGTTTACTATTATTATTTTACATATAGCCCACCATGGCTAAGGGTTGGTTAAAAAAAAAAAAAGGAGTTAAAACCGATGAGCTGCCAAACGGCTAAACAAAAACAAACTAGGGTGAAGATTAGACAGAGAAGTTTAACAAATTTTAAAAATAGTCTTAGAGATTTTTTTTTAACCCCTCTCAGTTCTATAGCCCTTTCTCAGTTATACAGTCATAGTACGCCATGCAGGGATGCCATACTATTTAACCAAGGCACTTACCCGTCACTATTATTTTCAGATAATACCATCTTCCAGAACTATTTATTATGGCAATTATAGCCAACAATTTTCTGGGGTTTATATCCAAGTTCTTGCACATTTTTTTCAAGTTGTGTTAGTGTTTGTGGGTTTTTTTTTCTGGTTTTTTTTTTTTTTTTTTTTTTGGAGGGGTGGCATAAAAGTAACAACAGTTTAGTACCTAGGGAAACACTTTAAGAGGAAAAATAAGGTCATTTTATTTTCTGAAAATCCATCTCTGGTCCAGTGTGGTTTTTTATCTAAAAATCACCAGCTCACTGAAGCTGAATTGTATATCCTCTTTGACCTACACCACCTCATATTCCCAGTTCAAGGAGAACTGTTCCTCTCTGGCCAAGACCTTATTTGCCACCTGAAGCCTTCAAAAGCCACACTGACCCCAGAGTCTCATTCTTGGAAAAGGCTGTCTGTTGCTCCCTGCGCCAAGTTAAGGAGAACTTTGAGGCTGCGCTTACACATTTAGCCCAGCACTAAATCAAGTGCCTCTCCAAGCTCTACCTCCCTCTCTTGGTTTGCACTCTCAGCCAGCTGCAACACTGCGCACTGTAGGCCGCTCCAGGCCCAAGGCAGTGGGCAGCCTATGTCCTCCCAGCGGTCCAGGTCAAGGTCGTAGCCCACCACATTGCAGGTAGGCACCTGGCGTGAGTCCCGCCACTTGAGGCCACCTAGTAGCAACGCCGTCTCCTCCACCACAGCCAGCCCATAGCAGAAACGATCATAGGGTAGTGGACGCAACCGAGTCCACTGGTCCGAGTCAGGGTCGTAGCGTTCAATCTCAGAGAAGGGCTCGAACTGACCCAGAAAGGCGAACACTTTGCCACGCAGTACTGCCAGGTGGTGCCCAAAGCGGGCGGTGCCCATAGGTGCCCTTTTGCTCCATACCCTTTCCCCAGGGTCCAGGGCGTACAAGTCCCGCAGGCTGCTCGTGCTGCCTTCAGCTCTCCCTGCTTTACCCCCAGACACATACACAACACCACGCTCCCCCACAGCCCCCGCGTGGCCGTGCAACGCCCGTGGCAGGGTCCCAGCTGGCGTCCAGCGGTCCCGGCGCAGGTCGTACATCTCCACGGAAGCCAGGGCCTCGCCGCCCACACCCAGGCCCCCGACGGCCAGGAGGCTCTCACCCACAACTCCACACCAGAAATAGGCCCGCGCTTCCTGCATGGCAGGCACAGCAGCCCAAGCCTGAGAGCGAGGATCATAACGGTGCACTTGGGCCGTGACTGCCCACCGGCCTTCAGCCTGGGGAGAGGGGGCGCTGCCGGAAGCACTCTCCCCGCCCAGGACAAACAGGAAGTTGCCCAGAGTGCACACGCAGTGGCCCAGCAACGGTGCCGGCAACTTGGTGAGGCTCCGCCAGCGGTGGTTGTACACATCGAAGGCCACCACTTCCTGGGTGAGTTCCCACTCCTTCTCCTCCTCCAGCTCTTCCTCTCCCTCCCGCTCCTGCTCCTCGGCCACCTCCTCAGGCTCTACCGCGGCAACCGGGCGTCTGGCCGCCGGAGCCGCGGCCTGTTCGGTCATGGCCTCCCTCGCCCTTCGCCCCCCAATCAACAAGATGTGTGTCTGGGGGCTCCGGATGCTGGTCTGCTCGCCCTGCATGAGAGGCTGGCGGGAAGGCGCCATGTGGTAATTAAGGGCTTGGATAATGAGGCCCTTGACTCGGGCAGGCAGTGTGAGGCCTGAGCCGGAGTACACGCGCCGCAGTATGCTGGCTGGTACTAGGCCAAAGCGGATAAGCTGGAGCATCTCTGCACAGTGAGCCAAGCGCTCCACAGCAGGCTCCTGCCGCAGCCAGGCCAGGGCCAGGCCCAGCAGCCAGGCCTCTGGCACCTGGGCCACCTCGGAGGCACCCAGCACGGCCTTCAGAGACCCAGGATTAAGTTCTAGCAGCCCTGCGGGGCCCGCGCCCCTAGCTAGCAGCTCCCGCAGGTGGCGCACAATGCACCGCTCAGCTGTGTCCAGCGTGTGCACTAGGCCAAAACGTGCAGCCACATTGGCTGCAAAGCAGCAGTTTTCCAGAGCCAGCTGTCGCTCCAGGTAGCGGGCACAAAGCCCCAGGGCTTCAGTGACCTGAAGGTAGCTAGCAGCCTCCAGAGTATCCTCCACGGTGTCCATGGAGAGTGGCAGCCAGGCAGTGTAGATGAAGTCCAGCAGGCGCTGCAGACCGGCTGCCGAAGGCACTTGCAGGTGAATCACTCGCGCCCTGGATTCCTGGGTGTGGCTCTTGAACAGGGCCCTGAAGTAGTCGCTGGAGCATGCCAGGAGCGACCTGTGCGCAGGGAACTCACTTCCCTCAGCCTCCAATATTACGTCGCACAGGAAGCCCTCGGCACGCAGGGCCTGGTACCCGGTGAGCAGCGAGCTTCCATGAGCTTTGCAGTAAGACAGGAAGTAACTCATGATGCTCCAGGTGGGAAGCAGTCAGGCTGGGACTGGGGCCAGCCGGGTTCCGCTGGAGGCATCCCGGGACCAGACACTGAGCGACCCTCTGAGCCCCTAACGGGAGCCCGTTTTTGTCGGCTCAGCTTAAAGTCTAGAGCTCCTTCCACGGATCGTCCTCTGCACCTCCCAGAGCAAATCTGTTCCGAGAAGTGTTTCCAGAAACACTTGGTAGTGGCGGGCGCAGAGTTTGGAGACTTCTGCGGGGTGTGGTGCTTGGTCTCAGCAGTTGCAGAGGCTGCCAGTGCGTTTTCCAAAGCTCCGTCGTCGTCGGCTCGAATAGGAGCTCGTATACCTGCGCGCCAGGGGCGGTGGTGGCCTTGCACCATCACCTGGAGCAGCCGAGCTGCCAGTGGACTACGAGGTGTGCTGGATCTCTGACGGCCCAGATGCGCAGATGAGGCCCGGACGCGAGACGTCCCGGCAGTGCAGGTCAAGGGATCCAGCCACCCGAGGGCAGACCAGGAGGACTAGTTCTGTGGACACCCGCGAGACCTCGGGGACAACTGGTTACAGGGCAAGGGGTGGGGGTGAGTTTGTTCCGCGCAGAGGATCAAATCATAGCCTGGGGGATTAGCGGGGGGTGGGGGGCCATGGGTCAGTGCGACGGGTTAAAGGCGTGATTGGGCGCCGCACATAACATGCCGGTAGCTCACCAAGACAAGAATAGCGCACCGCCGCGGCCGGCCACTCCGGAGCACCCCGCCCCGCCCCACTCCGAGACTGCCGGCCTGGACTAGGGCACGGGAGCGAGCGACCTGGGGCTGGTGCCTTGGCCCGACTGGCTGCCGCTCCCTAGGGGGTCCAGGGAGCCGCACCAAGGACTCAGGGATAGAGTTCGCTGCAGAGACGTGAAGCTCTCCAGACCCTGGTTGATGTCTGAAAGGGGGCGTCCCGGCAGGACCAGGGAGTGTCGATTTCCCGGTTTGTCTGTGCCTGGGGAAGAAGCCCCCGGCTCAGCTTTCTGTTTTGAGAAGGACCTAATTAGTGCTGCAGGCGCTCGGATTAAGCGGTAACTTTGCACATTGACACCCTGGAGGGCACCGGGGGCAGACCAGCTTGTGGTGAGAACCACGCCCAGTGAATCCGGGGCTCCGTGGCTCCGTGGCTCCGTGCCAATGGCATTGGGTAACCCACCCCTCACCTGGACTCATCTTTGTCAGATGCTGGAGTTACTCAGCGCCCACCCCGAAGCAGCTAGCACCACCCCACCCCACCCCACCCCCCGCTGATCTTCGTGTTCCCCATCCACAGCAAAGTTGCTCCCCTTCTTACTGTTGAACCCTGCCAGACCCATGCCTTCACAGCAAGGACACCCTTTAGTAAAATAATTGGTTCTCATTTCTTTCCCACTTTCCACGCTCTCTGATATTTTGGTTGTCTGCTACACCTCAGTGTTATGAAAAGGTAATGGCCAATAAAGTTGCTCAATAGAGCTCTAGTTGTGCAGGGACCTCCTTGGTGACGTTATTTTTGCAAGAAATTCTCAGCGCCGAAATTATGGCTGCAACAACCCCCCGACCTTAAGCTCTTCAGAAAGCATCACTCCATCTCCTGTGTCCGGCTCTTAACTGAATGATTCACGCGCGGGTAACTACTCTTTCCTGCCAACTTCAGGTTTTCTGTGTGTTTTGCTTTCATCTACAATTGATTTTTTATTTTCTGAGGCAACCTCTCTGGCATTGTGTTGCAGGGAGTCTTTTGAGGGCATCTCAAATAATTTGTGTTTCTGACACTTTAAGCCTGCTTTTCCTAGCAGAAAACAAGTGCAAGAAACGGTAACATTCAGTCATTTTCCATCCGGTTATGCCAGTGCTACTGACAAGGTCTCCAATTAGAAGTAATTCTGTTAAAATGATTTTACTGTCAAAGACAGCACCATGGCAAGACTTAAATTAGTCAGATGATAATGTGTAGGCAAGGGCTAAGCTCGGGCTACCTTAAGCTCCAGAGGCTGGAAATTCTGCAACTTGATTTCCTAATGTGAGAGCCACAGATGGGTTCAGAGGAGGTGCTGCTTTTGTGGGGATTGGAAGTGTTTCTTTTTTTTCCTTTTAGCATTAAAATTCTTGGTTCAAAGTAAAATTCCACTTTTGGTTCACTTTGTGCACATCTACATTTTAGGTTTAAATGGATTTTGCTCACCCTAAAAGAGCTGTGCTAGAGGAGATGTTGTTTTTGTAACGTTGGAAATGACCTCATGAGCTGCTTTCAGTTTTAAACTCTGCACTCATTAGGGCATTAATTATTTCATGGTGCTTGTACCCCTTCTTCAACACATTTTAGAGAAGGAGTGAAGCGATGATTTAGCTTCAACCTGTCTCCTTCCTGTCAGTTCTCTTCATTTTTCTCTTAAGCAAATGAGGTAAATGAGCTAGAGGGAGTACGGTCTGTCTGGATGACTTCGGTATTGAGTTGCAGAGTCTGGACCAGAATCCAGGGCTCCCTCCCCACTACATTATGTGACCTCAGATATGATAAAAATAAAATCCTGCAACACACAGACTAAACCAAATATTCAGGGTTATAAAGGACATTTCTTGCCTTATTGCCTTAAAACCATACAAGTATGTTTTTAAATAGCATGTTTCTAACGCATAAATTGAATCCTATCCCATAAGATCTGTACATTCAAGCTTGATCCAAAATATCACATTTAACTTAAAATGCTGTGAAAGACATCAAACTTTTATTTTAAAGATTTATTTATTATAATTGGAAAGGCAGATATACAGAGAGGAGGCAAGACAGAGAGGAAGATGTTCCATCCAATGATTCACTCCCCAAGTGACCACAACAGCCGGTGCTGAGCTGATCCAAAGCCAGGAACCAGGAACTTCTTCCAGGTCTCCCATGTGGGTGCAGGGTCCCAAGGCTTTGGACCATCCTCGACTGCTTTCCCAGGCCACAAGCAGGGAGCTAGATGGGAAGTGGAGCTGCCGGGATTAAAACCGGTACCCATATGGGATCCTGGCACATTCAAGGCAACGACTTTAGCCACTAGGCCACCTTGCCGGGCCTGACATCAAACTCTTAACATGAGAAAATCGAGTTCTACACAACATGCACATGCTTATTACTGCCCAACATACCATGTTACCATGTTTTCCCTCAAGAAATATGAAATATTTCTGAAATATTTCTGAAATATGACTGAAAAATTTTATATTAGATATATTTATAAGGCCCTATTTAGGGAATGTACCTATTAATATTCAAAAAACAGTATCTTCAGTTTGTATATGAAAATGTAAGTATTTTTAATTTCTGTGCAACATTAAATAACCTAAATGAAATTTCAATGTGTTTGTTTTTTGACATGATTCCTAAGCTGGTATCTGTGCTATTATAGCCAAACAGGATGAGGAAGTCATAAATGATAGAAATGAATGGCTCTCCAGCTCTGAAGGCTGTGAGCCCCAAGATGAAGATGGAAAGATGATTGGAAAAGCAGAGCTACAGAGATAGGAGAGACATCTGCTGACCACAATGACAAGAGCTGGGCCATCCAAAGCCAAGAACCAGGACCTTTCCAGGTCTCCCACATGAGTGCAGAGGCTAAAGCACTTGAACCATCTTCCACTGCCTTTCCAAGCCATTAACAGGGAGCTAGATCAGAAGTGGAGCCACTGGGACCCCAACCAGCACCCATATGGGATGCTGGCACCACAGACAAAGGCTTAGCCTGCTATTTCATGGCACCAACCCCACAATGAACTTTTGAAGAAGAAAAAGACTATATAAAGCCTTTTCCCAAAAACCACAAAACTCTAAAATTCACCTGCTTAATATTTAGGATACAGTGTTTTCACAGGTTAACCTTTTTTTTTTTTTTAAAGATTTATTTTTATTATTTTTTCATTGGAAAGGCGGATATACAGAGAGGAGAGACAGAGAGGAAGATCTTCCGTCCGATGATTCACTCCCCAAGTGAGCGCAACGGGCCGATACTATGGTGCAGGGTCCCAAAGCTTTGGGCCGTCATCGACTGCTTTCCCGGGCCACAGGCAGGGAGCTGGATGGGAAGTGGGGCTGCCGGGATTAGAACCGGCACCCATATGGGTTCCCGGGGCGTGCAAGGCGAGGACCTTTAACCACTTGCACCACCGCGCCGGGCCCAGTTAACTTTTTCTAATCTAGCATTTACTTACTCTTTCAAACACGTGGCTTCTGGCAACTTACAGAGGAGAGTCTATTATTAGAAGTTGACACGTTAAGGTTATTGTGAAAAAAAATTACGAATAATAATACACGTGTGGTAGAAACTTCCATGTTTACTTTCTTCTGAGACCATTTTCATGTATGTAGGAGTGTGTGTGTGTGAGTGTGTGTGTGTGAGAGAGAGAGAGAGAGAGAGAGAGAGAGAATGAATGGATGAACGAATGAATGAATGAAGAGTGACTTGGGCATTCTGGTGCAGCTAACAACTTAAGAAGTAGCCTGGTAGGTGGGAAAGGATTGAGCTTTGGAGTCAGACTTAAGTTCCTGCTCCAGATCTGTCCTACATGATCTTAAAGCAAGTGGCTTAAATTCAGTGATTGTCATTTTATTAAAAAAGAAAACTGCACTCTACATTTACAGCACTGTTAAGATTATACATGCATAATATATGTAAACATATGTATATATACATTATACACATATACACTATATACATGTGTATATATACATATATATATACATATACATCTACTCCATGGAATATTATGCAGCTATTAAGAAAAACAAAATTATTCTATTTACAACCAGGTGGTCCCAACTAGAAACCATTATGCTGAGTGAAATGAGTCAATCACAAAAGAACAAATACCATATATTTTCTCTCATATAAGGAAGCCAACATGGAAAGGGTAACTCCAACAGTCCAATCTATGCTGGTTTTTTGATGTTTTTATTTCAGTTTGGTTGCTTCCAAATAATCTCTATTCTCTAGTAGAATTCATCATGTGTTTATGAAGTAT